ACGAATTTGATCCAAAACCTCTGCTTGAACCTTCAAGTCTTTTAACGTAGGAGTTCCGACCTTCACAGAAGATCCATCAGATCCCAAAAGAACATCCTCTAAACCGACAGTTTCACCCTTTTCAGCAGTTATCTGTTCTACTTTAATAATGTCTCCAGGAGCAACTTTATATTGCTTACCACCCGTGCGAATAACTGCAAACATCGATGTTCACCACAATTTCTATAAAAATAAAGAACGCCCAGGAGCCTTATCCCGAACACAATACTGATCTTCAAATACATTTCTTGCTGGCTCTTGTCAAGGGTTTGGCGTAATTTAATAAAGATACAAAAAAGGGAGAAAGAAAAAAGTGCCTCCAGCTGATGCTCTTGATATTGCAAGAACCGCGATTAGCGTCCTTCTTAAGATTGGTGCCCCACTCATGTTAACGGCCTTAATCGTGGGGCTTGTCGTCTCTTTTTTTCAAGCCTTAACACAAATTCAGGAGATGACTCTTTCTTTCATTCCAAAAATTTTAGCCCTTTTTGGGGTCCTTTTACTTCTGATTCCCTATATCAGCAGCACCCTTGCAACATTTACCCATCAACTGTTCGATCAAGTCGCAAGACTTGGAAGCTGAAAGTACGTATAAAATGGAGAGCTCAACAACTTACTTGCTTTCAGAATTTTTCGGCTTTTTCCTGATTCTTGCCCGAGTGGGGGCTTTACTTGTTTCCCTTCCAGGAAAAGCAGAACAGTATGTTCCTGGAAATGTCCGACTCCTGCTTGCTTTTAGTATCGCAATGGTTCTCACCCCAGTTTTATCTCATAAAATGCCTGCACTCCCAGCATCAAGTTTTGGATTCTTCCTTCTTATTGCAGGAGAAATGCTTGTGGGATTTATGATTGGTCTTCTTGCACGCACACTTATTGCGGCCCTAGATATTGCAGGAACCGTTATGGGATTTCAAATGAGCCTTGCAAATGCCTTTGTTCAAAATCCAATTTCAGGGCAACAAGACTCTCTTCCTTCGCTTTTCCTCACAATGATTGCAACACTTCTTATTTTCATCACAGGCCTTCACCATATAATCTTAAAAGCCTTTATCAGCAGTTATGAGCTCCTTTCCTCTGAAAATTTTCCCAACGCAGGAGTTCTCTTTGGAAGTATGTCAGAACTTTTTCTAAATATGCTAAAGTCTGCCTTTATCCTCTCCTTAAAAGTTTCTGCTCCTCTTATCTTAGTCGGCCTCGTTTTTTTTGCTGCCATTGGCCTAGTCAATCGTCTTGTCCCCAACATCCAAGTCTTCTTTGTCTCTATGCCCCTTCATATTCTCCTGGGCTTTATCGTGATTTTGATCACACTGACAACTTTAATCCCAACCTTCTTAACTTTCTTTGAAGACACCTTTACACAACTGATTGAAGGCTTCCTTTATGGCTGAAGAAAACCAAGATAAATCCCAGAAGACGGAACAACCGACGGAGCACCGCCTAGAAGAAGCGGCGCTCTATAATTTTCTTTCTTCTTTATTTCTACATTAAATCTGTTGATCACAGAGCTCTTTAAGAGTTTTTTGAGATTGCAGA